GACCACATTTCAGTTTTTTTCTATTCTTGACTTTAGGTGTAAAAAATTAGACCTTCTATCAATTAAAAATCTTGTAACTTCAGTGTTTCTGAAATTGTAACCAGATGTTTCACATTCGAAAACTTCACCGTTAAGATGTGCCAAAATCATATATTGTGGTGTTTGAGACATAGCGAAAATTGTGTTTGAGTGTTTGAGTGTTTTAGTGTTTTAGTGTTTTAGTGCTTAAAGAGTTTAGAGACTTTATTAAATAGGCTGAGTGTTTGATTGTTTAAAGAGTTTAAAGATTTTTTACATGTATTTCCATTAAATCTACGTGCAGCATGCTTGATAACCGATTACATGCAGCAGGACACTTGTCACACATCTGTTTACCTTGTCACCCTTCATGCAGCATGCTTGATAAGACAAGACAATGCAAAACTCTGCGTTTCACATGTGACCCTGCATGCCTACATTGACCATGCAGGCCTACGAGATTCTCTTTCTGCATGCACCAGGACTTGATGAGACGGGACAATGCAGGAAAAACCATAATAAGAAAAATTCACACTACGGTTAATATGCAATCAACGACAAAAACATGTGAAACACAGAGCCTTAATATGCAATCAATGAAATGCAGCCTGCTTGGTGAGACGAGACAATGAAGGAATTTGCTTTTCACACGTGGCCCTGCATGCAGCATGCTTGATGAGACATGACAATGCGGGAATTTGCTTTTCACATGTGGCCCTGCATCCGTTTTTCACATAGTTGGTTATTTGCATACGTGCTACATTTAACAATAATAAAAAATCTCCAATCTGTATAAATTATCATCCATCAAAAAAATCAAAAAAAAACCATATGTTTTTAATTTAGGAAAAACCATAATAAGAAAAATTCACACTACGGTTAATATGCAATCAACGACAAAAACATGTGAAACACAGAGCCTTAAATGCAATCAATGAAATCCAGCTTGCTTGATGAGATGAGACAATGAAGGAATCTGCTTTTCACATGTGACCTTGCATGCGGCCTGCTTGATGAGACGGGACAATGAAGGAATCTGCTTTTCACATGTGATCCTGCAAGCAGCATGCTTGATGAGACGGGACACTGAAGGAATCCGCCTTTCACATGTGATCCTGCATGTAGCCTGCTTGAGTGTCCAACATGCATTTACAGCACACATGCATCAGGACATTTGTCCAACATGCAATTCATGCACACATGCATCAGGACACTTGTCCAACATGCATTTACAACACACATGCATCAGGACACTCGTCCAACATGCATTTACATCACACATGCATCAGTACACTTATCCAACATGAATTTACAACACACATCCACTCGTGGAATATAAATACGGGGTCTTTGCCCAACAAACTCTCCTCACAATTAAACTCTCCTACTCTCAACCACTCATACTCTCAAACCCTCAAATTCTCTAAGTCTCAACCTCCCGAATTCTCTAAACTGTAAAACTCTCAAACATCAAACTCTAAGTCTCAAAGTCTCAACTCTCAAACTCAACATCTCTACAATGTCTTTACTCACCATGGGCAACTCTCATAGAGGCATGGCTGAAAACATTGCAGAGTTTGTAAGTTTTTAGTTCTTAGTTATGTTTACAATCTTGTCTAGTAAAACGTTAAGTATTTTACTTCTTGTCTAATGAAACATTAATTATTTTGTAGGATGTATCAAGGTTTCGATGTCGTGTGCATGATTACATACAACACGACCCCCTCATAGAGGGGTACCTTCGTAATTATGGGTTTGGTAATGTGATCCAAATCAAATCTTACTCTCTAGATACGAAGTTTATTCTAGCGTTGTTAGAACGCCGGAGACCGGAGACACATATATTTCACCTACCTTTTGGTGAGTGTATTATGACTCTCTAAGACGTATACATGTTGCTCGGCCTACACATCGAGGGTAAGGCCGTCAATGGCAAAGTTGGTGTCCATGACCGACTTTGCGAAGATTTATTAGGCGCCCCTCTTTGTGTGGACGCACCTCAGGCGGAAAGCGAGGGCCGCCCGAGGGTCAGGGAATTAATTTAAAATACCTCATAGAACAATACAACAGTATTGTCTTAACTGATGATAGCACCGAATATGACATAATAGTCAAAACACGGTGCTATATTATGATTTTGTTCAGTACTATGTATTTACCATTATTGCAAAATATTAACAAAGTGTGCGAATATAGTTGGGGATCAGCTGTCCTCGCCCATCTGTATAGCGCACTTTGCAAAACTTCCAAAAAAAATTCCTGTACTTTTTATAGTTGTGTTTATCTCCTGCAAGCGTGGGGTTTGTCTAGGATGCCGACGCTTGCTCCAATAAACCGGAATTCTTTTACATTCCCGTACGCCAACAAGTGAGTTTCTTTTCTAGAATATTTGTAAACTACATTTTCGTTTAAGTTAATAATTTGTGAGATGTGTTTTAGATGCTAATTCATATGTGTTTATTATTTTTAGGTGATCTGTTCCAGGGATGAATTATCAGAGATGTCCTAGGCACTCTATAATTCAATACCGCAACTCATCGACCACCTTGGGCCAGACGATGTAAGTTATTTACCTTTAATTTTTATAATGTATATGCATAAACTTGTATATCTCTGTCTAACTCATTTGTCCACCTTTATTATAGTTTTTCTGGATGCCGTACGAGGGTCTTGACCACCAGCCCAACCCCGATGATGATGTTGTGTGGACATCAAGAACACCCATAATTAGGTTCACTACGGTGGAGATGCACCAAAGTGACTGGGTGAAGCTACAATTTGGGATGCATCAGGATATTTCAGATGCTCCGGTAGAGTTGGGGCAGTGGCATCAAAAGCGGGTGGACTCACAGTGGAGTGTCAGTGATTGGAAGGAGTTTGCGAAGGACTTGTGTAAACACTGGAATAGAAGACGGCAACACGTCTTAACCGACCGTATTGTGCACGGGGATAGGCCAAGTCTTCAATATATGAATTGGTTTAGGTCTGTCACGACATCTCAGCCTTTCCTGTCCCAGCCAACCTATTTGGTCGACCCAAGGGAACGCGCTTCATCGTCAAACACACAACAACAGTTCAACGCCCAAAATCAGCCTTACGAAAACCCATACATGCCAGCAAATACCCCTTATCAACAACAACATCCTTACATGCCACCCACCCAGTCCCAGCCTCAACCACCATACCATTATAGCCCTGATATGTCTTTTGAGCCTACCCCTTCCTCCTATAGCCCAGACAACTCATTTGACCCTACCCCCTCTAACTACCCCTCTAACTACCCCTCCAACTATCCATTATTTGACTACCACACCCCACAACAACCAACACACCTAGACCAACCCAATTCCATGTACACATTCGGACAACCATATCGTCCATACTCCACCCAACCTCCCCGACAATCCTTCGAAAACATGGGCATTGGGCTTGACTACGGCAGCGCCGTTGACAGTGGACCTCCCGGCTATTGGGGTCAAATGCTGCAAAATCTATCTGATACGCTGGGCCCGTCCCAATAAAACCCTCCTCCACAACTCAACACACAACGACCCGACACACCACAACAACCTCGTCGTAGACCTTGTCGCAGCGCACATCCTCCGCAGTGTGGCACCGGTGGTCGTTTGGATAGAGCCGGCCATTATTTTATTTTTTGTTGTAATTTTTATTATATTGTAAATTAATATATTTTAATATTTTTTACAATTCTATTTTATTTTAAGATTATTTAAATTTCAATTTATTATGCAAAACCAAACAACATAATTTACTGAAAATATTTATTAATAAATAATTAAAATATTTATTAAAATATTTAAAAATTTAATAATAAACTTAATGTATTTAATAGATAATTGAAATATTTATTAAATTATTTCACAAAATATTTATTAATACGAAAAAAATTTATTAAAATGTTATTAATATTTATTTATATGTGAAATGTTGAAACCCTAATCCCAAGTCAATGTCGCCAAATGGGACGGCGAACTCTTCCACTTTTGCCAATTTCGCCATTTCAATTGGCGACTTTGTTGAAGTCCGTTTCTCCACTTTTGCCTATTTCGCCAAACGAATTGGTAACTGTTTGCTGAAAGGTAGTTGCTTTCGTAAATTTTTTTAAAATGGCATTTAAATGGTATTTTGTTTATAATACATAGCTGGTTTAAAAAAAAATTCAAATATTGAAGATGGTGTGTAATACTAAAATGCGTCTAGGTATAATATATAAAATAAGTAGGCGTTATATATTTTTGTTGATAAACAAATTTTATTAATTCATCCCTTATATTCATCTCTCATAAATAAATATTTAAATAATAAATAAGTAACGGGAGGAAAAATAGATTCTAGGAAATGACACTAAAGAGGGTTTAATTTTGGAGTTTTTAGGGGTAGAACTTATTTTTTGTAACTTTAAAATTAAATAAGTGTAAAAATGAATTTAAGAGGTGGGAATAGCATTAACTTTGATTTAATGAACATGAACACTTCTCTTATATCTCTAATTAATTGGGCCTAAGCCCAATAGCATTATTTTAAGTGCTTTCAAGTTCCTTCATTTTTAAAATTAAAAAAAAAATTACAAATAAATACCGTTATTATAGAAGCTAAAATATTCAGATAATAAGAGCAAATCTAGGATGATATCCATAAGTAACCAATAAGAAGTAGCTAAAATATTCACTTAACTATTATAGAAAGTTGGTGAAATGGTATACCTAATATTAATGTTGCTATTAGAACAAGCTTCTCTCAAATGACAATAATTAATCTTAGATATAATTTAAAGGTAACTCCATATATAACTTTCTTTATGCTCTTTTACCTTAAACAAAACTTGTACTTCAAATCACCAATTAATTAAACTATATAAAGTATAATCCATGTTAGCAAATTTTTCATTCCAAAATCAAAATTATTCATATTATTACTATCCCCACCCCAGCCCACCCCACTACACCCCCACAATAACAACAATGTTGTCTCTCTTTCGACAATACACATTCGATGACTCATTCGAACAAGTCTTCATATCCAACAAATTCCTTAAAGAATACCAAATTGCCCTCACATATGCCACAGATTACGACGAAAACAACATACCCACAAATGGAATTTTCACACCCAATTGGGACACAAGAAAAGTCACACCTGAAACAATAACCGATCTCAAAAACAAAAACCCTGATGTCAACATTAAAGTCTACATTAGTATCGGTAACAGTGGCGCAAAATTCCCGTTTTGTCCTCAAAACAACAAAACATGGATTCTCAACGCAACAAAATCACTCACAAACATCATTAAAAGCTACGAAGATTGCAGTCTCCAAGTCGACGGGATTGATGTTTTGTACGAATGCATCGAAGCTTCGCCCGTTGACTTTGTTGAATGCGTTGGTCAACTCATAAAGAATTTAAAGGAAAACGGTGTTGTAAAAGAAGCTTCAGTTTCTCCTTCTTTTGCTCTCAACAGAGAATACTATTTCTCGTTGTATAAGAATTATTCTTCTCTCATTGATTGGGTTGATTATCAGTTTCAAAACGAGGTTGTTCCTGTTTTTGCACCGAATAAATTGATGGAGGTTTATGATGATTTGGTGATGGAGTTTTATCCGAGGAAGAAACTGTTTGCTGGATATAGTGCTGAGAATGAGGATTGGGCTACGTTGTCACCGATTGTGTTTTTTCTTGGTGGAATGAATATTCTTAAGAAGAGAAAAGGTCCTGGGATTTCAATTCATTATCATAATTACTATCAACAAAACGAAAATAATGAGTGATTCATATATATGATATGTGCATGTATACTTTAATTATATCATGTTGCAGTCTATGCTTCATGCTAAGGTAATATGTACTATGAAATAAGACCCATGAATGGTGATAAAATATTCTAGCTATATAACTTTTAATACTATACCATATGCATGTTTATTATATCTGTTTTCTGCGTATGACAGACATATTATTTTGAGACAAGTTTGATATCAAATATGACATTTTACAACATGACAAATTAAATGATTCATACAATTCAAATATGTTATTAATACATACATGCTAATTGTTCTATTGTGTTATTAAGTGAATTTTGAGATATTGTTTCATGACATTTGAATTCCTGACGCAATGGAGTGGTGCTGACATGTAAAGTTAGCACTTTAACGCGTAATAAAATATGATGAGAGTGAAAATAGATTTTGAATCTGTTTATTGTGAAAATTGATAAACAATGGTTGGTCTTTTAAAAAATTGGTTTACTTACATGATCAACCAGTGAATTCTAAAAATATAGCTATTGTTTCAATATATTTCTGAAAAATTGAAGAATACTTCGACAATATTCATTTGTATTGAAGATTTTTTTAATTGTTTTGAAAAAAGATAAACTTTGTAAAAATTAATAAAGAAAATGCAATGAAGAAAACTTCAAAGTAAAAGTGCAATAAAGAACAATTGATAAATGAAAGTAACTTTCTATTAAAATAAAGATGGTGTTTCAACGTACATTTTTCAATGACAAACTCATTTCTCACTTGACTTAGATACTTTGAGTATATTTTTAAGTATTTATATAATAATAAACACACAGAAATTCTAATACTAAAACTCCTATTTCACTATGCCAAAAAAGACCTTTAGCAGCGCTTTTTTTGGCCTTTAGCAGCGCTTAAAAGCGCCGCCTAAAGTGGCGCTGCTAAAGGTAAAGGCAGCGCTTTTTTTTTGCCTTTAGCAGCGCTTTTTTTTTTTGCCTTTAGCAGCGCTTTTTTCACCCTATAGCAGCGCTTTTATAAGCGCTGCCTAATCCCACTTCACCTCCCCCCTTTAGCAATGCTTTTAAAAAGCGCTTTCTTAGACCCCCCCTTTAGCAGCGCTTTTTTAAAGCGCTGTCTTAGACCCCACCTTTAACAGCGCTTTTCTAAAGCGCTTTCTTAGAGCCCCCCTTTTCCAACCTATAGCAGCGCTTTTTTAGGCCTCTTTTTGCCCCTTTAGCAGCGCTTTTTTTAAAAGCGCTGTCTATTCTTCACGATTTTGAATTTTTTTTTTTTTTAAATAATCACATTTTTAATATATTTTTCAATAAACCTGCTTATAACAAATACATTCCCTGCTTATAATTCAGGTCTTTAGTTCAACAGTTTGGCCTTATATATAACAATTATTTTGGCCTTATTTTTGTGTATTCATCAATTTGCAATATTATACACAATAACTAAAGTATACATTATAATTCATCACTTTGAAATATTATACACATAAACCTGCTTAAATATATTACAACACAGTCTGATCCTCAGAACAAAATCACATATACAATCAATTCACATATAATTACAAATCTGATAACTTTACAAATAGATACAATATCAGATGTCACATTAGGAAGAAATAAACGTAACAATCTTTACTTGACTATTGAATTCTGTATGAGACTGCATGGAGTTCACTATCAGCCACAAATACACGGTTTTCTTCAAGCTTTGTATCATTATTCAATTGAATGTCTTCCAAGCTTAATTCAATAGAACATGATTCATCTTAACAACAACACAAGCAAAAACAATAATAGATAAGTAACAATACACTTGAACAGGCCCATGTAGATCATTAAGTACTAGATTTCTATGAAATTTTCAGTTCTTATCATTATTTGAAGTTTCTGTTAATCAGATTAATAATTAAATATGTATTTATAGAATTAATCTTCATTATCATTACCTTCCAATATATATTTCCTCATGAAGTACCAAAGCAGCCAATACAGTCACAATCACTGTCACAAGAGGGCTAAACAATGCAGAGAAAAGAGGTCCTCTCTGTGTTATGCACCATGCTTGAAGACAAAACATAACCGTTGATCCCATAATTCCCTACAAATAGTATGAAGTTTCTAAAGCAACATAATCTAAAAAATCATTGAATATATGTGCAGTATTTCCCTTATAAAAATTATTAGTAAAAAGAACTCATATAAGGTGTGGCATTTCAGCAAACACCTTGTATACGGCTAGATATAATAAAAGTTAACATAAGTAAATTCATTGTGGCATTTCAACAAACACCTTGTATACAAAACTCAAGCCAATATCAAACGAGTAATTTTCATCAACGGTATCAACAAAAACAAGTCAAAAACTCAGAAAAGAAGTAACACTAACATCATATAATCCAAAAAAAATGAAATACTAAGACATTAATCCAGAAAAATGCAAAATGAAAAACTTCAAATACCGTAACAATGGACGGACGGCGGCAGAATGAGGTGACGACGGAATGACCGGAGGAAAGACGACGGACGGAGGCTGTCGGACGGAGGCGCGGACGGAATGCGTCGACGGTGACTGTTCTAATTCTGAATAGGGCAACGTTCGCGAGTGGAAATAAGAAAGAAGAAGACTGTTCTGATTCTGTGAAAATATTGGAATTTTTTAAATTTATGCTACTTAAACCTATAGCAGCGCTTTTTTTGGCATTTAGCAGCGCTTTTAAAAGCGTTGCTATAGGTCTGCCTTAGGACCCCCTTTAGCAGCGCTTTTTTTGGCATTTAGCAGCGCTTTTAGAAGCGCTGCTATAGGTATGCCTTAGGACCCCCTTTAGCAGCGCTTTTTTTGGCATTTAGCAGCGCTTTTAAAAGCGCTGCTATAGGTCTGCCTTATGACCCCCTTTAGCAGCGCTTTTTTAAAAGCGCTTTCGTAGACCCCCCCCCCTTTAGCAGCGCTTTTTTAAAGCGCTTTCTTTGACCCCCTTTAGCAGCGTTTTTTTAACAAGCGCTGTCTTAGGTATGCTATTTTTTTGTTTTTTTTTTCATGACCCTTTAGCAGCGCTTTTTTAGAAAGCGCTGTCTTTTGTTGCGCTGCTAAAAGTCATTTCTGGCGTAGTGTTTATAGCAAGTTGAAATAATTGTCTTCAGCGGACAATTATCTGAAAGTTGACACGTTTCGTCCATGCATGCCTTCATTTCGCCACAGCTCTCCACGTGTCTTTCCTAAGAAACAGATAAGGACAAAATACAATTATTTATCTGTATTTCGAATTTCAAACTTCTGTCGAAGAAAAACTTCAAACATCCTTCGTCGAAGTTGGTTTTACATACTTAGAAAATATTTCTAAGTATTATCCAGACATCCCCTTCATGGAGATTACTTCGACCAAACTTCTCCCAGACTCCTGTAGAAGTAAGAAAATCCAAGAAACTCGATTGTCACTTAATGTCTTTGAACAAAAAACCTGGTGTGGAAATTTCCAGCCAACAAATTGCCCTCCAAAATATCATTTTCGACTGAATGGAGAAAATAGCATTTTTTGAGGTTTGCCTTCGACGGCAGAAACCTTTGATCTCCTATAACATTATCATCATCATGACAACTTTTCCAAAACGTCTCCTCAAATGCATGTGTGAATCTTTTTCAATCATCACATGTCTAGTCCCTGGGAGATCGTGGGTCAGACTTAACTGCTACTATCTCATTACACAACCCTTACATGACACGCGTTCCACGATTCTTACCATTATTAATCCGTATAGTAACCGTCTCCACTTAGTACACCTTTAAATAGCGAAAATCACCATTTTTACACTTTTCACTCTCTGAACCTTCTTGAACGCATTTTCTCAAATCTTTATCTCTTTTCAAATCTCTTTCTGCAAACTCACCTCATCAATGGCTTCTTCAAACAAGATCTTCAAAGATACCAACAAGAACACTAAAGAGCCCAAGAAATATGGAGAGCTTGCTCCAGTCAACAAAGTTCTGGGTCCCAATGCAGTATGAAACCAACAATACATCCCCGAGCCACCTCATGAAAGAAGAGAAACACAGGATCTACCAATCCCAGGTACTCATTCCCATCCTTGTTTCTAGTAAGACAAACGTTATGTTAGGTCTTCTTCCTGACCTTACTGCTGACCTTGCTAAAGTTAAGGAATTCTTTCCTGGTTACCATTGTTATAAGCCCATACTCGTGATCAAAAACCTAGTACTAGTGAAGAACTTAAGGCTGATGAGAAAGCCAAGGTTGATGGTCAAGGTTATCCTTCGAATATAGCTTATAGAGACCACATTAACTTAGAGCACATGAATATTAGTTTTAGGGTATTTAGGTCATGCCCTCTGTCTAAAGACCCTTCTGATTATCCCGCTTGGTTAGAGAAAGTAGAGAAAGAAAAAATTCCAAGTCTGGAAAGACATGGGCATCTTCGACATGATTCAGTTGTCGAAGGTAGGGCCTGGTTATTGTCCATCTATGATGATTTCTTCCCTTTATTTCTAGGATAATACTCACAACAACTTCCAACTCCCTTGTGGAATGGTGACTCCCACTTTGTTCGACGTTGCAACCATCACAGGCCTCAAACCCATTGGAGTAGATTATGATCCTAACCTCTTTGCTGATGACTCCATAGACTTCGACACAAACAAAGTAACTTTCACCACTTATATAGCTCACTACCATGATAAAGAAACTAAGGAAGTTTCTGATCAATAGCATGTTGAGTTTCTGGCTCTTTGCCTTTCCCGCTGCATCTTTTCTTCAAGATCCCTTTAGGTGGCGAAGAGATTCCTAATAATGGCTAATCAATTACATGCTGGATATGACATTTGTCTCAGCAAAATAATTCTAGCCAATCTTTATGAATCCCTTGGGGAAGGCGTTACAGCACAGAAAACAATCAAGACAAGAGGAAACTTACTTCTTTCTGGACCCTTTTGATTGCTGCAACTATGGTTAAATGCCACATTCAAAGCATCTTTTCCTGCTCATAATCCTATCAACGAAG